CCTAGTTCATCTAGTCGACGAGGTTGTCATTCTGGGGCCCGTATTTCTACACAATATGTTCCTCTTTGAGAGGTTCATGGGAGTCCTACTGGAAACAAGAATATGTTCGTTCTATTCTTGTTTCTACACAATATGTTGTTTCCAGAGGTTCGTTCTGTTCTTGTTTACACATTCTGGGGCTCGTATTTCTACACAATATGTTCCCCAGTGGATGGTGGATGTTGTGCGTGATAGTAGATCACATGTTGTGCAACAGCATAGAGTACTCAACAGCATAGATCACATGTTGTACTCCACTAGGTAGTAGGTGTGAGATATTAATCTTGTCATTTTGTTAGTACATAATTAGTGGCTGCGTCTGCATGTAGCTAGCTTGGTTGCGTCGTAGTTAGTTACCGAGGAGTGGATCGAGTGATTCGGTCAGCACAAAAGTGTTTAGTTTCCATGCATGTAGGATCATGTGAGTGACCAGCCAAATGATTTGGCCGAGTCAAGTTAGTGGCCGTTGTGTTAGCTAGTGGTTAGTGCATGGAGAGTTTAGTGGAGTTAGTGGAGTACGGCGTGAGTGCGTGGATCTTGGCTGAGTGCCAAACTTTGTATAAATAGTCATCTGATTCAGTAATGAAAAAAGAGGCCGAGAGGGCCGAGCACCAAAGATGTAGCACTAGTGTTCACCAAGGAGCAGACCCTCTTGGCAAAGCCGCGGCTGTCTTCTCTTGGTGTATGTGTGTGTGTGCGTATGTGTGGAGTTCCTCTCCCTGCGTGTGTGTTCTTGTGTGAGACAAAACAGGCGAGGAAGAGATCGTGAGAGAGCTGTGTGACAGCGCAAGGAAGAGGAGCGGCGCTGCGAGGAGGCGGCCCCAACAGTAGGAGACGGCCTGTGTACTCATCAGTCAATGGTCAAAGGGTACTCTGCTCGGTGGAGTGGTCAAAGGGCAGAACACAGGTCATGGACCGCTGGACAAAAACGATGTACACTATTGTGTAGGGTTCGCGCACTGGTGGCGAAAGAATTCCAATGCGTTGGGTGCTAAAGTAAAGTGGGGTGAGAAGATGTACCAGAAACAACATTCAGTTGTTCAAAAATAAAACATTCTGGTCCCGACCTCAAATGACCTTGAGATGAACAGTAAAATCAGGAACAAATGAAAATGAATTCCCAAAATTCTGATTTTTTTTGGAAAACATTGATAAATGTTTTTGAGTGCCTTTAAAATGACATGCAAGATCGATACGCATGATCGGGAGCAGGCGGACACGCATTTTTTTTTTTGTTTTATCCAGTCCAAACCTAGGGCGGATAAGTTGAGACCCAGACGAGCCCGGGCACGCCCACAAAGTTAGACTGATCGGGAGGGTCCACGCCAATTGTCCCATATTCGTCCCCTCTCTTTGCCGTTCAAGGTCAGCGCCATCGGGCACCGCCACCGGAATTAAAAAAAAAGTTTGGCCATCGATTGACACTTTCGGGTTCAGATGAAGAAGTCCAAACTGAAATAAAAATTAAAAAAGCAAGGCCGTCAATGATCGCTTTGTAAGGGATATGGATAGTCATGATGAATCTTCTTTGTTCATGGTGACAGAGAAGAATAATAACGACATCCCACAACCTTCAGAAAGGATATGTTAATGACCGAAGCTTACCGCTTTTGGAGTACGCAGATATTTAAGCCGGTCGTGTCGCTCCTCGCGTGGCAAGGTGGGACTAAGCCCCCAACCAAGACGGCCTAACATGGACAAAATGTTACATCTACACTGGAAATCGTAAGCAAAAAAATTTATTTGGTGTTTATAACAAGCCGGCCGGCCTAACACGGACAAAATGTTACATCTACACTGGAAATCTTAAGCACAATAATTTATTTGGTGTTTATAACAAGCCGGCTGGCCCAACACGGGCAAAATGATCGACGTGCATGTGCGTGCATGTATGTGGTGTTTTCATAATAGGAGTTTGTGGTTCAAATGAATGTGGCAGAATAAAAATGGACGAAATTTCTTTTAATCTCAGTTTCACAGCAAAAATGGAGATTCAAAAATCCACATGGACCCCATTTTTATATTCATATGCATGAAGAATGAGTAAGATCTTTAGTGGAATTATAAGTTCTTGATTTTCATATGGTTTGACTTTGATTTGACCAAGTTTATTTCGACTCCCGTATTGACCAAATTCATGTGAACAAAACACCAAAGTTGACAAAATTCTTCTGATTTCTTCTCATATGGTTTCCTCATGCATTCTTATCATTTTCCTACATTTTTACAATCATGTGAACCAAACAAGCCTTAAAAGTATTTTTTCGCTTGGGCCCTTTATTATACATGCTTTAATTCATTTCCAGTTCATAACAAATGGATCTTGTATATACATGCATGATTTTTTTTCAATAATATGTTAGTTCTTCTTTTGGTAGAATTACAAAATTTTGGGCACCGATTTTACGTGCAAAAAAATGTATAGAAATCGCGCAATTTATTTACTAGTTAGTAGGTGTTACCATGTTTGCAATTCTGATCTGTCCTGCAAAAGATAGCTGCTGTTGACACCATTCATGAGTTTGATTCAAGGGAACGTGGCAAAGTACAAATGGACGAAGTTTTACTTTGGCCTCAGTTTCAAAGGAAAAATGCTGGAATTCAGATATCCAGTTGGACATCTTTTTCTGATTCATATGCACAAATAACGAATAAGATCTTTAGTCTAATTAAAAAAATTCATGTGGTTTGACTTCGATTTTACCACTTTTTTTGGCTTAGTGTGTTGAAAAAAATTCCTACGAGAAAAACAATCAAGTTGACAAAAATCTTGTGATTTCTCATCATATGTTTTGCTACGGCATTCCTATCTTTTTCCTAAAAGTATCTTGGGAACCAAACAAGCCTTAGAAGTATTCTTTTCTCTTGGCTTTTTTAAATTAATATACATGTTTTAATACATTTCCAATTCTACAAAGGTGTGATATTTGTTTTCTTAAACAAAAAGTAGGCTATTCTTTAGGCATAATTGCAAAATTTGTAGCACCGAATGTAAGTGTAGAAATAAAATGTATGTAAATCTAACACAAAAGTTTTCATATTTTGGTTCTACAAAGGGGTGGCATTTTTTTTGGCAGAATATTTGGTTCTTCATTTGGCATCATAAAAAGAAATCGAGTACCGATTGTAAACGATAAGTTAAAATGTTATAGAAATATCTCAAAAAAATTTCATATTATAACAAATTGAATAGTGTGAAAAATAGAAAGTTAGTAGCCATTAAAGGAAATGTTACATTTTAGAGAGCATGGATGTGTAGTACAAAACCAAAGTGCATGATCAACAAGTGCTTCTGTTTATATTGTTTTGGGGCCAGAATTGTGTTTATTTTTTGTTAGCCTACAGATTGTTGTATCATTTTAATGAAAATCTTTACACACAATGGCAATGTCTTTTTTTGGTACATTACTTAAAGCATTGGAATTCTTTAAAGCGTAGTCCGAGCCATACAATACACATCCTTGTTGCCAGCGGTTTGACTGGTCACCATGAACGGCAGGACAGAGGTCTACTAGGGGTTACCTGCGTTATGTTCGTTTGGAAGTGTGAGAAGTATGCTGCATAAGATATGCTGCTGCTGATTAATCTGCATTGTTGCATGTGATCTACTATCACGCATAACACTACGGCATCACCACATGATGTGTTCATGCCCTGCGTTCTGGCCAGCGGTCCATGCCCTGCGTACTGGCCATTTGGCCATTGATTGATCACCATGCACGGCGGGCAGCACAGAGGGACGCGGCTCGTCTGCAGTGCCTTCACGCACGGCAGAACTGCCGTACGGGCCAAAATCAACCATTCATTCACTTTTCATCCCATCCAACGGACTTCTGCTGCTCACCAACAAACGAACAGTACTCTGAATACGTGAGTGAGATGCAGTATAAATACTACAGTTCTATTTTTAAGTTATTTATTTATGCCCAGCGTACACTAATTTCAGTACTCTGTTAGTAGAGTGCACTTCAGTTTCCCTGAGAAAACTGAAAACTGCTATATTCAGATTGTGCTTGGCACGGCTGTACCTGCAAATTTTGGTTCCTTGCATGGCTGTACCTAGAGACCACTAGCAAACTTGGGGCACTTCAGAATTCAGAGGACCAGATAGAGGATGGGATGCGATCCAACTGCGGCATATCAACCGACATGGCGGCGACAGTGGCTCGACGGTAACGCAGCGGCTGCAGCTCGACGGTGACGACGCGGAGGCGGCAACGTTGGACGTAACGTGGCGGTGACGACGGCCGCGGCAGCTTGACGGCGACGAAACTGCTGCAGCTCAATTTTTGGCGCGAGAAGATTCAGAGTATAGAGAAACAAGCAAGTTCGTTGGACCCTCCTGTTCGTTTGTTGGTGAGCAGCAGAAGTCCGTTGGATGGGATGGAAAGTGAATGAATGGTTGATTTTGGCCCGTACGGCAGTTCTGCCGTGCGTGAAGGCACTGCAGACGAGCCGCGTCCAGCACAGAGTCACAGAGGCCAGGTCCTAGCTACTAGTGACTAGGGGTTACCATGTTTGGAATTCTGTGACCCATGCTGCAGAAGATATGCTGCTGCTACGCTGTAGCACAACATGTGGATGTGGTGACCATATCAATGCACATTACAGCAGCATTAGCACATCATATATTTTGTATCCTGCTGCACGCCATGGATGATGGAGGCAGGAGCACTCGATTTCACAATGCATCAAACCCTGAAAATTCAAAAAAAAAAAAAAGAAGAAGCATCAAACCCGATGAATCCATCAATCAATTTTCTCTCCCACCCAACATCCAACAGGAGCCAGCGATGTGCTGCGCCGACTGGACTGTGCCTACATAAACACCCACCCCCCTTCTCTTCTTCCCAACACTCCTCTCCTCTCCAACCAAGCGAGCCAGCCAGCCATCTAGAGCTAGAGCTAGAGCTAGAGGTAGAGGTAGTAGTAGTGGTAGAAAGAAGAAGGCGCGGGTAGGCATGGGCGTCGTCAAGGAAATGGCGCCTGTGGCGCTCTGCGTGCTAGGTGTCATGTTCCTCGTCGGGATGGCTGACATGAGCGGTCTCCCCGGCTGCGGAAGACCGACGAGGATGGATCTCCATGAGCTCGCGGCCCAGGTGCGCACCACCCTCGTGGGCACCGCCTCCTCGGCCGCCGGGATACTCATCTGGGTCGGCAAGGTGGCCGACGACCTGAGCGCCGCTGGGTGGGACTGGGAGATGCGCGCCATATTCATCGTCGGCGTCAACCTCTCCCTCGCCTCGTCGTTCCTCGCCCTCTCCGCCCTCGTCTTGGAGCTCTCCTGCGACCCCGTCGTCAACTACTGCATCGCGGCGGGGCTCATCGGCGTGCATCTCGTAGCCGCGTGGGCAGTCCGTGGTCGTCTCCGGGCAGTGAGGCTCCGTCGAGCTACCTAGGTAGCCAACAACAAGCCGGTGGGATTGTCTCTCTCCATTGATTACCTAGGGTCGTGGTTGTGTTCTCCAAATGATGTGTCTGGCGCGCCTGGACAAAGACATCAATCAACTTTCTGTCATTGTTCTTAATTAATCTTAGGGAGTGCGTTTAGTTTATTTTAGGAAGAAGAAAAACTGTACCACCGGTGTTGGCTTAATCAATTATCTCTTGTGTGTTAGTTCTGTTGGCTGCCTTGGTCCTTCATTTACTTCACAGCATTCTACTTAGATCGATGCATGTTAGCATCTGTCTGGTCTATAGCATGAGCCTATTGTTTTCATTTTTTTAACTGTTGTGAATGATGCAATGCCTTGAATAACCTTGGACTCGTCTTTGCTGCTTAACAGATTTACCTGTGCAAATTGCAAAAAAGAAAGAAAAAACTTGGCATCCTGTTACTCTCTGCCCAAGCCCCAAGCAAGTAGTCCTAAATGGAGAGAGGGAGAGTGTGTGTGACCCTCCTGCTGTTGCATGCTTATGTGACGTGGATGGTTAGCTAGGGCATGTCGTGGTTACAAACTAGTCATGTGAACAACCAAAATAGTTCAATGTTGATGGTGTGGTCTCAATTCTCAAAGCATGCACTGCGAGCCTAACTTCTTTTTCATAGTCAGTGTTTTTCTCATCGATGAGAGCCGCAGGTTATATGATCCTCTCATAGCATTTAGCACAGCATCGAATATCACCATTACGGTCTTCAGCCCACAATTTTTGGTGTTGTCGATATTTTGTTGGTATAAACAGGCCCTGTTTGTCAAGGACTCAAGCTCAAGGGCTTATATATTATGACACATGCATTGGATTGATTGTCCACTAATATATTATGGTGCATCACGAAATCTTTGTTGTATTGGTCAATTTTGTTATCCATGGACGCACAACAAAAACGATTAGATGTGGCGATGTCTATGCTTGAAAAGGCACTTAGTTACCGAAACTGCTCCACAGACGATGTTTCTGCCCGACCTATGCACGACCTGAAAATCCAGCGGCCGGTACCCTGCTTATCATGCGCATGTTCGGTTGGATTTATGTGTCGTGTGTGCATAATTGTGTCGTCCGCATAGCACTGCTGCTTAGTTACCGTACGTTTGATCAGCTAATCATGCATGCATGGGGATCCTGACCTGTGGGGCAGAGTTAGCTAAAGGCACTAGTCTTGGGGATCCTATTGCATGCCCATCCTTTTACCGGTGTGTTGTACTACTAAACGCGTATGCATAGGCTTGGACCATGGGTCAAAAGCGCACGCCAATGTCCACATCTCTGCCATGGACATACGCTAGCTATAGCTGCCATAGGTCAAAAGCCTAATACTCCTGCCTCCAGTCCATCTCTGCCGTGCAGATACGGTCGCTGTACATGTACAGTAGAGAGAGAATATCGTGACCATGTCACGTGAGTCTGTAGCACGACAGCGCTAGCATGCATAGCGTGTCATGCTAGTATTCCATTCAAACCCGTCCTCTGGTCAAACTATTGTACGCTTGCATGTACTCCTATAGCCTGCTTCTTGTAAAAGCTCCTGCATATATCACTAGCCTGCACGCCAAGAACAACAAAAAGGAAACAACGAATGCATGATACTATTGATCCTTGTGGATTTGGTATGAAAAGAAGCAGTGGCGGAGCTAGCGAATTTCTAAGAGGTAATAGCACGCCACGTACCCTAACTTCCTAACTTGCATCCAATGTGATGATCTAGTCCCAAATTTGCAAAACTAGACCAAGTCATACCCCAACTTGCATCTAATGTGATGTTTTAGTCCCAGGCCAATGAGAACTCGCCAATTAGCTGGGCCGGTCAGCGCGCGCAGTTTTGCACAAAACCCCCTGCCGTTTGCCTGAATCAACCCGCTTGCCTGGAACCTGCCTGGGTGTGTTTGGTTAGTGACCTGGGATTTTTCTGCCTGGTGAAGTTGCCTGGGTACGCTGCCTGGCTCCGGGCGTAGCAAATCGGACGCCTAGCCCTCTCCCCAACCTGCCTGGGCAAGATGGCCCCACTTATAATTTACTATACCCCGTAATATATGGGCAAAGCACTTTCCCCTCCACCTCCACTCACGTTTCCCCTCCCCATAGCTCACAATCTTCTCTCTCTCTCTGGGATTGTTCTTGAGAGAAGGGGAGAAGGAATTGCATGGGAAATTGATTATTGGCTTTGCTTCTTCTTTCCCCCAACAATATTTCTAGTTCCTAGTCAGATCTGGTGAAATCGTGAAGATGAGACTGCAATTTTTACCCTATCATGTGTGCCACGATTTGCTGCCCCCTTCTCTGTTAATTTGTTCTTGTGATTAGAACATGCTAGCATGAACGCATCTAGTGCTTCTTTTCATTTGGCTTCTTTTTTTTACTTGATTGGAAGCTACAACCTTCCAGATCTGAAGAAACCTCTTACTAGAGTAATAATCTAGTAGTACTTTGCATATATGTGTGCACGCATGTAATCTTAAATCTAGCATAGAACAATCTCTCTATTATTGGTTCTACTGACTACATATACGTACATCTCACTTGTTTCTTATACATTTATTTCATCTAATATTCAGATGTATACGGAATCTGTCCATTATGTTATCAAGAAACGACGGACGTTAGGTGTTCTAGCTGTAATGTTGGCCATTGTCCGGTGGCGTCGTCGACGTAGACATTACAGTCTTAGAATGTCTCGAAGAAAGTATGGGCCATTGGTTGATAGAGATCTGGAGAGGCAAAAAAAGTTGAATGACCTGTACAATTCAACCGATAAAAATTGCATCAGTCAACTCCGGACGACGGGGCCGCTACGCAGTGGGTTTGATGATGTGAACAAACAAGTGATGCTCTCCCAATCTACTCTAGATGGCTTATCGGTAATTATCTCATACAAATTATCTATTTGTCGAGTGTTCAACTACTGATGTGGAACTAACAATAAAATTCATGTAGGCCAATGATCGTGGAATTCTCTCTAAACCGATTCAGTTCTACGACAAGTTGAAGGAATTATTTAGTGGCTCGTCGGCAGATGGCTCTTTTATGCAAGACCCTTTCTCTGCAGCTGAAACTGACAATGATGATAAGGTAAAAGATGACATGATGAATGATATGTCCACCTTTGTTGAAGCGAAGGGTCCAACAGGTCATGACTCGGATAAATTAGATACAGATAGTGATGATTGTGAAGCGGTGGCTGCTCTTGCTGCAACTGATAGTCAAGTTTCCTCGTCCAATGTTGCGGCTCTAAAGCCTAACAAGAAAAGTTTCAAAAAAAGTGCAAAGCCAAATACTCTGCCACCACCACAAAATGATAAAGCTAAAAGGTCAAAGCCAAGATCATCTCAAGCATCACAAGATGACACTAATATGGATGTGCTGCTCACAAGTACTTTGATGGGCATACGAGAAACCCTTGCAAGTCCAGTACAGACGGTAGCCCCAAAGGACCCGAATGCTCCTTTATGGGACATGCTCAAGAAGATTCCGTTGCCACCTGATGAGAGGATGTCGGTCGGGATGCATCTATGCAAGCCAGAATTTGCAGTCCATCGAGGTTTTCTTGTCAGCATGGGTCAAGAATACCTAGAGCGTTGGGTGTATACATACTTATCTGACAATTATCCTGCTGGCAAACGTGTCGGCGATGATCTTGTTGGTAACCTTGGAAACAAAGATCCTGCTAGTAACCTTGGCGATGATCCTGTTGTTAACTCTACCCCTTTCTGAGTAAGATTGATTGGTGGTCTACCATATTGTTGGATCCTTTTGGTTGCAAAACACTAGTTTCTAAGTAGTCAATGACTAGCTTTTGGCTATGCACAACTGATGCCTAAGTAATGGCTGATGGTGGTATTATTTTGCTACAGCCTTCTGCTTAGTTTCCAAGTAGTATCAGCATGCATGATATGATTATTAGATGCTAATGTGAAAGCTGTGTTGCTTTCTGACTTTGGATAAGTTTCTAGGTAGTATCAGGATGAATACATAATTAGACTTCTGGTTATGTTAATCCCATAAGGATAATTTGTGTATCTCTTGCATTCCAGATGTGCTGGACAATGAGTATTAATCAAATGTAATGCACTTTGGTTATTCAACAGCAATGTTGCTGTGTATCTTAACTGATTGGCCAAATAATTTTCTAAACTGATTGGCCAACTAAGTACGTTAAGCAGTAGCAGGAAAATCTCAAGGCACTCGAGGACGCAACCTCCAGAGCATCCAGTCCACGGTGCTCATCGGGAAGTTGTGCACAGCCGCGCCGGAAGGCGTCGGCGGCTGCTGCCCACCATCGTCTGCAGCGGCCGTAGCTGGAAGCACGACGCCGACGACCGGGAAAGTGCTGCTGGAGGTAGAGCTCCCCTCTTATTGTTTCCCACATCCCCTTTCTTTCAAAATTCTGAACCCAAAGATACAGATCCACCGACGTTGCGCTCAGTCATGAATATTGCATCCTTGCACACCTGCATCAACAAGATGTCTATAATATCTACCTGCATGCTTAGGCTAGCGCTTGTGTACGCCCATGTTGTCGTATGCTTCCAATCGGTTCGGAAGAAATCCATCTTATATGTGCATACCCGTCAGAAAGCATAAATCACTCTGGTGAATCGCTTTGGGAGTTCATGGTTGTGCCAAAAATTGGTACCAGATCACAGGTTGTTCGTCCATGATTTTCAAAAAGCAAGTACAAGATCATGGTGTTACTGAAGTGGGAAGACAATTGATCTATAACCCAGTTGTGCGTCAAGCCTGTGTCAATGGTGTTTCCAACGATCAACTATCCCCCTCTTTTGTAGTATTGACAAAAACTGCGCTAATGTTGCTACAGTTTCATCACCAAAAAAGAGAATCCAGTTTTGTTAAATTAATTTGTATAATAATATGTTCATTACTGAACCTGAACAAGGAGTAGACAGATTATAGTTTCTAAAGCTTCTCTGTCGGGATGCATAGGCGAGAAGGACAATTGGAGTCGCCGGCGTCGCTTATGGAGCTCCACACCATTGCCCAGTTGTACAATAGCATGTGCAATCTTCTCCATTCAAGACTAATAAGTGCAAATTGTGAACTCTTTGCCAAACAAGAAGATATGAGGATCAGGCATATAGGCCCCAATAAGGTAGCTATATAGTAATTCATGTGTAGTAGTGTAGATTATGGTCACACTTTGTCTAGGACTGCAGATAGCTATGTCAATAAAAATGGTTATTCTGCATATTTTCTGAATTTTGAGTAAGGGCTTCATGTATAAGGTATGCATGCAGTAGTTTTGACTTGGGGCACTGATCAGTTCTTCACATGCAGGAACGTGGAGAGGTCAATCTGGTCGATTGTAGCCACAAGGTGAGTGGCTTGATCCTTAATTAATCCAGTTAGATTTCATGGATTATTGATTAGTTTTTTAGCAAGCAAATTTTTGTACATCTGATTGTAGGGATACTGCTGTAGTATTTGGGGGAAAGAGTACGTCTGCACCTGATGGTGATATGCCAAAGTTTTGTATTTTCTAGGTAAATTTGCTACATGGGAAGATTCCTCAATGGCAAAAATACACCATGATAGTGATAATGATATACGGAGTACATCCTATGCTGAACAAGAGCAAGACAGAAAAGAGTAAAATATTCTCTCCGAAGTAATTACAGATTGCTTCCAGTGATTTTCAATTCCAAGTAATAAAGAATATAAGGTTACAATTCATCACCTGAAAAAACAGATCTTTGTAGTCATAGTAATGTCTTCTCCAATTGATCATACCGAGCCATGGTCCAAATTTTATCTACAATAGGAAACACACGATGATGACATATCAGATATTACAAATCACTATATGAAATGTTTAATTTTTACTTCCCCTTGTAACGTTAGCTTATCTAGCAAATTTCTGTTATTCTGTACATCTGATTGATAAGTTTCAAATAGTACAGGAACCATATATCCAGATATAATTAGAGTAGGGATCGACACTAATTAAACCTCTTGACACGCTCATTTGAAAGTCAAGTATGTTTATGCAGCAATGCCTTATTACTCCTACAGAAGATACCATTACTGCAGCTCATAGGAAGAGATATTACACCATCAGTTGAGTTTAGCTAAATCTGCAGTTTTCATTACAATGCATGAATCTTATTTATCTCGCTTCAAATGAACAAACAAGAGAGGATGAAGTACCCATCTTCCAGTCATCTGGCAAGCAACAGTCCAGTGGATACTGCAGACCTTCTTAGCAAGCATCATCGAGTGCCATTGTATCTTGAATAACACAATTGTACAGGGATCTTGAATAGCATATCAAACGAAGGCACGCCTAATTGAAATTATGGTCACATTAGTACACGGTAAACTGCACAGTACGAATTAAAATTTAAGTGCAAAGATAGGATAATCCAGAGTTGACACGAAGTAATGTCTAAGGACTAAGATCAAATTAGAATTAATCCTGACAGTAAATACATCAATGAGAATTCATTTCACAATAACATAGCTCATACCAGTGGAGGCATCGAACTGTGCCCATATATTTTTGCGCACCCACGCCCGCTCCTTGTTGTCTTGTTGCGGGCATCCGCGCTGGGTCGCTCGTGAGCATGCTGAGCTCGAGCGCATCCTTCGGCACTTCGGCGAGCAGATTCGAAGAAGGACGGGGAAGAGCAGGGGCGTGGAAGTCCCTCACCTCCGACGGAGCCTAGCGCTGGGATGCTCCCGTGCATGCCGAGCTCCTCTTGGTGGCAGTGGGTACGAAGGGGAGGGGTGGCCCGAGGAGACGGGGAGAGGAAGAATGGGGAACGACGGGGAGAAATGTGACGGCCGGTGGGATTTTTTTTAGGTGAAGCGGTGGGTAGGTAGGTAGGTGACGGTGTGAGGGGCCTAACTGAGGGAACCGTCTCCCTGTCCATTGATATGGGCCAGAAAATTATCAAAAGCCCGATCAATCCAGCCCAGCCGTTCGTCTGATGCCGGATGCCTAGCGCTCGGCTGAGTTTTTTTTACCTGCTAATTCACGATTGCGTTCTTGAATCGGAAACCAAGCTAGCTGCTAGGTAGGCAACGAATGAATCATATCAAAAATTAAAGTATTTGTAAAGGTGTAGTTAGATTTCAGTTGACTAAGACTAAGTTGAGTGATATTAGCATGTTTATTTTTTAAAAAAAATCACCTTTTTTATTTGGATTTATGATTTCTAAATTTAACATGAATATATTTGTCATTTTTCAATTGAGATTCAATAATTATTTTTATCTCTCTAAAAAATCCAATATTTTATTATCCCTCTAAAAATACATGAAGACGGAGGAGGATCTCCTCGATAAATATTACCTTTATATGTTAATATAAGACATTTTTTCAGTTTAGTTTACAGAGGGCGTAGTACATAATGTTGTTTAGTTGTTGTTTTTAAAAAAATTATGTAACAAATTATAATAAAGTTATGTGATCGTGAATTTATTGTGAAGACATGTGTTGTCGATTGTGTATTACACGCGCACTCTCATTGTTGGGCATGAGACATATTTCGATGGCTCGATAAAAAATCACTAAAAATAAGATTTAAAATAGATTTTTTTTTTATAAATTATGATACGTGCGTTGCACGTGCACGCTTACTAGTACATATGAAAGATTAAAAATCAAAAGCCAAAAGAAAAAAAGACGTGCGTGGAGCCACGCACCCGCATGCCACAAATCCTCTCCACCGTGCCAAAAATTCTCTCCCGTGTACAGAATTTCCTGCAGAGGTGCCATCCACAAAGCAATGTTCGGAGGCTCTCTTACTCAGCACTTGCCTCCAAACCTTCTGGAAGGCATTGGCAGAAAATCTGTCGCATGGGATGGTTCTGAGTTCTGACCATGGACAAGCTGCTTCGGCGAGGATGGCAAGGGGAGCGCGATCTGCTCGATGCGAGGTTCACGGAAGGAGGTTTTTTTTTTTAGGGGAGTTGGCGGGGCATCTTCTTCAAACTGTTCCTTTGCTCGCCAGGTTTGGACGATACCAACTTGGTCTGGTTTTGCGACCATATCGCCTATGGAAGGTTTGGTTTACTCCTGGTGGCCGGATTGGGCCTAAAAAATCCCTAAGGCCAACCGGAGAAAGTTTGATGGAGTAGTTGCTTACACTTTTCGACAAATTTGGAAAGATAGGAACAGGAGGGGTTTGATAACAATTATTTAGCTGTCCATGACACGTTTTTTTAGGATTGAGGAGTCGATCAGAACGAGAGAGCTGGCATCTTCTAGAGTTGTTCAGGATGACAGAGGCTAAGGCCATCACATCCATTTGTAACCGGGCTTCGGCCAAAAAAATGGGTTTTTCCCCTCCTAATAGATAGGCAGATAGGAAACGCTCTTGCCAAAGTTTCGAAAAACAACTATTCGACGGAATCTACTTGACTAGAGTTATATAAACGAAAAATCTATTATGCCAGCTAAAAAACGATCATGATTATATTGATTAAAGAAGACAAGCTGATGTGGTATGCTGGATCCAAGGGTGGGTCACCTCATCTCATCTCTGGTTCGTTGTCCGTCGGGAGAGATGCTGCTACCTTGGACGCACAGTCTCTGAGCAGCGGGGGGCCGAATAAGTACAACAAGCTGAAGGCGACGAGGTTCCATGACTTCCTGTTGAACTGAAAAAGTTGCTCTGCCCCGAAAGCAATACGGCCCAAGCCACACTGGCACGGCCCAAAGGACGCCCGCACTTTCTTCTTCCTGAACACGA